CATCCCCTAGTCTTGAACTTCCCCATTTTAGGGAAAAGATAGCTACCATCAACTCTACATCTATACCTCTCATTATTTTATAAACTCCCATTGGGTCGCCTCTCAACCTCCTACACTCCAGTGAACAAAGTCCCAGCCTATCCAGCCTTTCCTTATAACTCAAATCTTCCATACCTGGCAACAAGCTGCTAAATCTCTTCTGAACCATCTCCAGCTTGATAATATCCTTCCTATAACTGGGCAACCAGAACTGGACATAGTATTCCAGAAGAGACCTTACCAATGTCCTGAAAATCTCAACATAACGTCCCAGCTCCTATACTCAAAGGACTGAGCAATGAAGGCAAGCATGCCAAACGCCTTTTTAACCATCCTGTCTATATGTGATGCAAATTTTAAAGAATTATGTACCTGCACCTCTTGGCCCCTCTGTTCCACAACACTACCCAAGGCCCTACCACTTATTGTATAAGCCGTACCCTTGTTTGTTGTACCAAAGTGCAATACCTTGCATTTACTCAGATTGAACTCCATCCACCATTTTACAGCTCATTGACCCATTTGAACAAGATCTCTTTGTAATCTTAGAAAACCTTCTTCACTGTCCACAATGTCACCAATTTTGGTGTTATCCGCAAACTAACTAACCACGCCTTCTATTTTCTCATTCAAATCATTTATATAAATGACAAACAAAAGAGGACCCAGAACCAATCCCTATGGAACACCACTAGTCACAGGCCTCCAGTCTGAAAAGCAACCTTCCACCATTACTCTCTGTCTCCTGCCTTTAAGCCAATTATGCATCCAATTGGCAAGCTCACGCTGAATGCCATGTGATCTAACTTTACTAATTAGTCTATCACGAGGAACCTTGTCAAAGGCTTTACTAAAATCCAAATAAACAACGTCTACTGCTTTGCCATCATCAATCTTTTTGGTAACTTCCTCAAAAAACTCAATCAACTTTGTGAGACATAATTTTCCTCACACAAAACCATACTGAGTACCTCTAATCAATTTTTGCCTCTCTAAATATCCATAAATCCTATCTTTTTTAATCACCTCCAACAATTTACCCACAACCGAAGTCAGACCCACAGGTCTATAGTTCCCTGGTTGCTACATCTTACATTTACAACCCCTGCTGAAAACTCTATATCCAGTGATATTGAGCAGCCTTTGTTGCCTCTCTTTAAGCTAAGTTTCCATTATAGCAATGGTATTGTGCTGCCATGTGTCTGTCTGTGCCCTTAGCTGATTGACTTTATTTGCCATACTTGTTGTGCTTTACGTTGTAATGTTTAATACTGCTAAATTCCTATGTTGTCCACTTTTTAACCTCTCCTTCTTTGATTTCTCAGCATTATTAATTTTCTGCCTCCAGGTTCTTGCTCTGAGTACGCTCTCAGGTTCCTAACGTTCTGTCAATCTTGTTTAAACCCTCCCAAACAGCATTGGCAAATTTCCCTGCATGGATATTTACCTTGTTCCTGTTCAGGTGTAAACCACCTACATTTTACAGGTTCCACCTTCCACAGAAGCAGATCCATTACCCCAGAAACTTTCCTCCCCCCTTGACAGACCCACTGCAGATGCCTGTGGTATCCACCGATTGGCTTTGGTTGCATTCTCTTGAGGAACCATCGTCCGCTCCAGTGCACAAACCGGAATACCAATCAGCAAGAAAGGTAGAGTTGGGGCAGCCCTGCACTGTTTGCCTCTCAGACTTATTTCTCTTAGGCTGCTTAGTGGTCACTTATTCCCTTGCGGCCCATACACTTCCAATCTGTGATGTAAACATGCCATCCACATTCTCCTCTGCCTCTCAGTTGCACAGCAGTGATTCCATCTGCTGCTGAAGTTCTGACAATTGGAATCCAAGCTTGTACAAATAGTGACACTTCCTGCAGATGTGTTCTTCTGGGATACACGGCTTTTTCATGACTTCATACATACCCAGGATGTATATTTCACTTAACCAAGCTGACCTACCATCTTGTAATTTTTAAAAAATCTGTATTACAATTAAAGTAATAGAAAACATTCCAGTATACTCAAATCAGCCTCATTACCATAGGAAGTTGAAATAACCAAAGCAGCACTGTGAAGATAAGGCAGGACTGACGGAGGCCTCAACATACAGTTCCTGCAAACAACTAACTCAAGCTTCATGTAAAAAAACACAGGTAAATCTAGCTATTAAATAATTAGGTACAACTTCATTCAGAGCTTGCATACACCTGACTTACGGCTGCAAATATAATTTTGCTTAACTTAGTCTTATTTCAAATGATCTTAAATTATTATTACTTAATTTAGTTAACTAATTAAAAGAAAACCAGACTGTTTTATAAAGCTATCCCTCAAGGCTCTCACGTTCACCACTACCTGGTGTAGACATGATGCCTTATCATATCAAACATAGTGTAAAAGCTTTAGGGAGTCAGTAAGTGAATCAGTCATTGTAAAATATTCAATTTCTGACCTATTCAACTATACACAGTATTTATCTAGCTAGTCCAGTCATGTTTCCTGCCAATGGTGTCCCCCAGGATGTTGATGATGGAGGATTCAACAATGGTAAAGTCAGTTCATGTCAAGTCAGCATTTATAATCTTTATTGCCGGACATTGTCATTGCCTTGTATGTGAGTAACTTGTGCACTACTTAACAGTTCAACAAGTTCTATATTTCTATTAGCATAATAAAATTCTCCAAAGCAGTTCACAGCAACATTATGAAGCAGAATTAGACACTAAGCCACAGAATGTGATATTAGGACAGATGGCCAAGAGCTTGGTTGGATTGGTAGAGTTTAAGGAGCACTTTAAAGGCAAAAGATTATATTGAGTTGTGATGTGTTTCATAGAAAGAACCTGGGGTCTAGGCAGCATAATGTATAGCCACCAATGATGGAGCAATTAGAATCGGAGATCCTCAAGAGGCCAGAATTAGATAAGCATAAATAGCTCAGAAGGTGGTGACACTGGAGGCCATTAAATAGATAGTAACAGACCAAGCACTTACATCTACGTCTTTTTTTTGTGGGTATAGACTGATCAATTACCTCATTGATTAAAAATGGAACTGAACACTGTGCAGACATCAGGATCATAGATTTGTCACAGCACAGGAGGCCAATCAGCCTATTGTGTTTGCACAGACTTTCTCAGCAGTTCTTGCAGTAATCAACAAAATGAACAAGAGCAAGGGCAAGTCATTGACAGTGCCACTGAAAAAGGTTTGGTCTAGGATACTGCCCTGATTAACTCTGCTGTGATATCCATGTCCCGAGACTGAGATGATTGGTCTCAAACAACACTTTTGTGCTTTGCATGACTTCAGCTAGTGGAGTGTAGCCCTGTGCTGTGGCTTCAAATTGAAACATCAGCTGTGGTTCCATAGTTGAATACAATGATTGTCAACACCTTGGATGTTCTAGAATTTAGTCGCACAGCACCTTACTGACACCTCACTTTCAGACATTTTTGGTGTTGCTCCTGACATGCTTTTCTAAATTCCTATTTAACCAGGGTTGGTGGTCTATCTTGGTAATAATAATGGAGTGAAGGATTTGCTGGACTACAAGATTGCATATCACAGTGGAATATAATTCTACTTTTTCCTGATGTCCACGTTGCCTCATGAAGACTAGTTTTGAGCTGTTAAGAATTGTTGTGAAGGTATCCCACTTAGCAGTGAGGTAGTGTAACACAACATGATACATGGTGTTTTCAGCAGAAAGATGGTGTGGTATTTAACCAAGTGGTGGATATTCAACTTTGAGCATAGAACCACAGAGGACATGTACAATATTAACAAGATTCAGTGACTTTAGAAGACTCTCCTACACGGTAATATAACTGTGGTGCAAAGTCTCAGCTAGTGTAATTAATACTGATTTAATCCTTTTAAAAAAGCTGAATGAAAATATTGTTAAAGTTGAGATTGAGAGGATTAAAAATGAGTTTCAATATTAATGATCAAAACATAATGCTCTGCACAGTATGGTTCATGAGTTTTCAAATGGAAACATCAACTGTGGTTCCAAGGTTGAATACAATAATTGCAGAACTTTAGAAATTTTAGAATTTAGTTGAATTAATTTTGGTAGTCATAAAATCATATTGAACACACAAACTAAAACAAAATACTGTGGATGCTGGAGATATGGAATAAAAACAGAACGTTAGAGAAATTCAGCAGGTTTGGCAACGTCTGTGGACCGAGAAACAGGATTAACATTTCTAGTCCAATGACTCTTTCTGAGAATATTAAACAACCTTCCTTCAAAAGATTAAGTAAGTTGTATTGAAATGGTAGTACAAATAGTTTTAAATGAACTTAATAGTTTTCTTGTTTACAAAGATTAATAGTCCTTTATTTCTGTAAAATTCATCATTAACTGTTTCTCTCTGAAGTGAGACTTATGTTACCTGATTCAAAAATGGGTCTCAGGAGCTCCCTCCCCCAGGGCACATTAATTTATTTTGTTCAGCTGCTTTGGAGTATACATAACAGTTTTAATAAAAGGTTCCATGTTGTACTTGCCTGCAGTTTTAAGAACAAGAGAAAACTAAGACTATCATATACTTTTGTAGGAGAACAATCTTGATATTGAACATGGGCACTTGTGAATTTTGTCCAATACAAAATAAGATTCTGGAGATAGGCAAACACTAAACAATAAAGAGAACGGCTTAGTACTTTTCTATCAGATTTCAGAAACAGTAATCCTACTCATAGCCAATGAAGATGCAAAACAAATATTAAATTTTAGAGGACATCTTGGAGATAAGGTTATTTTGACAGTAATCAATGAATATATTCTCAAAAATATGTTGGAACATTCTAATTTTTTCTGAGCTACCTAAATATCATTTAAAGGTTTTGATATTCTTTCATAATATATGCTTCATTTTAAGTTTCAGTGTAAGCATACCAGATATAAATCGACCAATAAAAAAATGATAATCTAGTTTATATACTTTTCATACCTATAATTTGATCTTGGCCTGTGGATTCAGTGATAGCTTCCTTGACGTTATCTGGATCCACATTTATTCTCTCCGCGACTGTCATAATCTGCAGCAATCACAGACGCATTGAAACACTTCAGATGAATGAATTATGAAAAATGTGGACATCAATGAATTAACTACAAAACATACAAATTTGTTCTTCCAAATCAAATATTCACCAACCACAGTAATTTCGTAACGTTACCAAATTTTGCTGTGTCTTCTGGTGAGACACAACATAATACAGCAAATTACAAAAGGTAGCATGTTTTGTATCTGCCAGTCTTGTCTTTAACATTTTGTCGTAGAGTCACAGAGATATACAGCAGAGAAACAGACCCTTCAGTCCAATTTGTCCATGCCAACCAGATATCCTATATAATTCTAGTCCCATTTGTCAGCATTTGGCCCCTATCCCTTTAAACCCTTCCTATTTATACACCCATCCAGATGCCTTTTAAATGTTGCAATCGTATCAGCCTCCACCGCTTCCCCTGGCACTTCATTCCATACATGCACCACCTTCTGCATGACAACATTGCCCCTTAATTCCCTTTTATATCTTTACCCTCTCACCTTAAACCTATGCCCTCTAGTTTTGGACTCTCCCAACCTGCGGAAAAGACCTTGCCTATTTACCCTATCCATGCCCCTATGTAAACCTCTATAAGGTCACCCCTTCAGCCTCTGAAACTCCAGGGAAAATAGGCCCAGCCTATTCAGCCTCTACCCATAGCTCAAACCTTCCAACCCTGGCAATATTCTTGTAAATATTTTCTGAACCTTTTCAAGTTTCACAACATCCTTCCCATAGGAGGGAGTCTAGAACTGCATGCAAGACTCCAGAAGTGGCCTAACCAATATCCTGTACAGTCACACATGACATCCCAACTACTATGCACAATGTCCTGACTAATGAAGGCAAGAATACCAAATGCCGCCTTCTCTATCCTATCAACCTGTGACTCCACTTTCAAGGAACTATGAACCTGCACTCCAAAGTCTCTTTGTTCAGCAACACTCCTCAGGACCTTACCATTAAGTCCTGCCCTGATTTGCCTTTCCAAAATGCAGCACCTCACATTTATATAAATTAAACTGCATCTGCCACTCTTTGGCCCATTCGCCCATCTAATCAAGATCCCGTTGTACTCTGAAGTAACTTTCCTCGCTGTCCATACACCTCCAATTTTAGTGGCATCTGCAAACTTACTAACCATACCTTCTGTGTTCACATCCAATTCATTTATATAAATGACAAAAAGCAGTGGACCCAGCACCAATCCTTGTGGTACACCGCTGGTCACAGGCCTCCAGCCTGAAAAGCAACCCTCCACCATCACCCTCTGTCTTCTACCTTTGAGCCAGTACTGTACTCAAGTAACTAATTCTCCCTGGATTCCGTATGTTCTAACCCTGCTTATCAGTCTACCATGAGGAACCTTATTGAACGCCTTACATATAGATCACTTTGCCCTCATCAGTCCTCTTCATTAATTCTTAAAAAAAAAACTCAATCAAGTTTGTGAGACAGGGTTTTCCATACACAAAGCTGTGTTGACTATCCCTAATCAATCCTTGCCATTCCAAATACATGTAAATCCTGTGACTCAGGATTCCCTCAAACAATGTGCTCACCAACGATGTCAAGCTCACCAGTCTATAGTTCCCTGACTTTTCCTTACCACCTTTTTTAAATAGTGGTACAACGTTAGCCAACCTCCAGTCCTCTGGCACCTCACCTATGGCTATCGATGATACAAATATATTAGCAACAGGCCCAGCAATCACTTCCCTAGCTTTCCACAGAGTTATAGGGTACATCTGATCAGGTCCCGGGGACTTAGCCACCTTTATGCATTTTAAGACTCTCAGCACCTTCTTCCCCTCTGTATTAAGGACATTTTTCAAGCTGTCGCTATTTATTTCCCCACATTCTCTGTCTTCCATATCCTTCTCCACAATAAATACTGACGCAAAATACTCGTTTACTATCTTCCCCATCTGCTGCAGTTCCATACATAGGTGATCTTACTGATCCTAAAGGGGCCCTATTCTCTCCCTAGTTACCCTTTTGTCCTTCATGTAATTGTAGAATCCCTTTGAATTCTCCTTAACCATATTGGGAATAGGGGATGGCATTTTTGCAGGAAGGTGGGTGGGAGGAGGTATTTTATTGGGGCCTGGGATGGGGCCTGGACCATCTCTAACACCTCTCTCATCTTCCTGGACCTGTCTCCATCTCGGGCAACCACCTAGAAACCGACATACATTTCAAGCCCACCGACTCCCACAGCTACCTAGAATACACTTCTTCGCACCCACCTTCCTGCAAAAATGCCATCCCCTATTCCCAATTCCTTCGCCTCCGCCGCATCTGCTCCCAGGATGAGGCATTCCCACACATCTCAGATATCCTCGTTTTTCAAGGACCGCAACTTCCCCCCCTCAGTGGTCGAGAACGCCCTTGACCGTGTCTCCCGCATTTCCCGCAACTCATCCCTCACACCCCGTCCCCGCAATAACAACCAAAAAAGACTCCCCCTCGTCCTCACGTACCACCTCACCAACCTCCGGATCCAACGCATCATCCTCCGACACTTCCGCCATCTGCAATTCCTTCCTCACCACCAAAGACATTTTTCCCTCCCCACCCTTATCTGCTTTCCGGAGGGACCACTCTCTCCGTGACTCCCTTGTCCGCTCCACACTCCCCTCCAGCTCCACCACACCCGGCACTTTTCCCTGCAACCGCAGGAAGTGCTACACCTGCCCCCACACCTCCTCCCTCATCCCCATCCCAGGCCCCAAGAAGATTTTCCACATCAAGCAGATGTTCACCTGCACATCTGCTAATGTGGTATCCTCATCTGCTGTACCCATTGTGGCCTCCTCTACATCGGGGAAACCAAGCGGAGGCTTGGGGACCGCTTTGCAGAACACCTACGCTCGGTTCGCAATAAACAATTGCACCTCCCAGTCGCGAACCATTTCAACTCCCCCTCCCATTCCTCAGACGACATGTCCATCCTGGGCCTCCTGCAGTGCCACAACGATGCCACCCGAAGGTTGCAGGAACAGCAACTCATATTCCGCTTGGGAACCCTGCAGCCCAATTGTATCAATGTGGATTTCACAAGCTTCAAAATCTCCCCTCCCCCTACCGCATCCCAAAACCAGCCCAGCTCGTCCCCGCCTCCCTAACCTGTTCTTTCTCCTACCTATCCCCTCCTCCCACCTCAAGCCGCACCCCCATTTCCTACCGACTAACCTCATCCCGCCCCCTTGACCTGTCCATCCTCCCTGGACTGACCTATCTCCTCCCTACCTCCCCACCTACACTCACCTTTACTGGCTCCATCCCCCCCTCTTTGACCTGTCTGTTTCCTCTCCACCTATCTTCTCCTCTATTTTATCCGCCTCCCCCTCTCTCCCTATTTATTTCAGAACACCCTTCCCCTCCCCAATTTCTGATGAAGGGTCTAGGCCCGACACGTCAGCCTTCCTGCTCCTATGATGCTGCTTGGCCTGCTGTGTTCATCCAGCTCTACATCTTGTTATCTCTGTACATATTAACAATCCATTTTATATTTTTGTATCAATGAAAGCTTCTAACTAGTTCAGTAATTGGGCTAGTTCTTCTTCACTTGAAACTGTATGCATTTTAAAATGTAGAATTCATTGTGAAACCATAGGGAAATACCCTTGCAGCACTTCAAAGTCCCATACACATTCACAGCTTTGTTGATCTACAGAGACCATTGCATAGCTCAGCAATGAGATAGTATTACTTTTGTACAAATCTTACAAATAAGATGGTACCCATTCCTGCTCAAGGCTTTTGGCATCTCCGACTAACAGATCATTTACCCAATAGCTTTGGTTTCTCCAGAGCTGTTACTGTTTTGTATTAGCTGTGGGCCTCATGCTGGCTTTTTTAATGGTTACACGCAGTTAAGCAGATCTTATTTACATGCTGGCTGTAGGGTGAATTCCAAGTAACATTCATGCCATCAAGTGCAGGTCAATAACCATCTCCAACTGGAGAAGGTCTAACAATCTCCACATATTCAGTGCCACCGTCATTGCTGAATTTCTGCCATCAGCATCTTGGGTATAATATTGACCATGAACTTAAACACACCAGTTAAACAAATACTGCATCTATAACAGCAGTTCAGAACCTAGCTATTCTGCAATAAGCACACCTCCTGATCCTCCAAAGCTTTTCCAAAGCTATCTTCAAAAGTAGCCCACAATCCTTCAAACACCAACATGTACAAGCACTAGACATTAGGCACATGGAAACACCATGACAAATTCCTCTCTAAGCCATGCAACATGACTAATTGGAAGCCTTTCTTTCAACATTAGTGGTTCAAAATCCTGCAACTCGCCACTGTACTTTGGGAGTTGGTTTCACTACAATAACTGAAGTGGTTCAAGAAGGCAGTTCATCATAACTCTACAAAAGACAATTAGGGACATGTAAAAAATGATGGTTTTGTCTTTCTTTATTCATTCACGGGATGAGGTTAGTAGGCATTTATTGCCCATCCCTAATTGCCCAGAGGGCAGTTAAGAGTCAACCACATTGCTGTTGTTCTGGAGTCACATGTAGGCCAGACCAGGTAAGGATGGCAGTTTCCTTCCCTAAAGGACATTAAAATCAAATGGGTTTTTCCCAACAATTGACAATGGATTCATGGCCATCATTAGACTGTTAATTCCAGATATTTATTGATTTCAAATTGCTGTGGGGGAATTCAAACACAGGTCCCCAGAACATTACCTGGGTCTCTGGATTAACAGTCCAGCGATAATACTAGGCCATTGCCTCCCCAATTCAATTGATACTCAATTGCTATCAAGTGATACCCACTTTCCACAAATGAGAGAAAAAAATGCAGCCAGTAATGAAAGAACTTAGTGCACATTTGCCTCCATACAAACCCCTTCTTACCAACTGATAGCATTTTAAATTTGAACAGACTGAGTAAGCACTTATTACAGCATTGAAACATTCAAGTATAAGCGATTCTTACATGGTTTACCCTGCAAAGG